CACAGCGGTTCCAACTTTGACACGATACTTCAGTATATCCTAAGCGATAGAGACACAAACACCCTACACACGAAACTCAGATGGACATCAACGCTAAATTATCGGTGAAGATGAAGCAATAAAAAAAAAGAGCCCATCGCTGTATGCCCTCCGAAAAAAAAAACTATCGCCCCCACATATCGCCAAGAGTGGCCTGCACCTCACCCCCCTGCTTCGCTCTTCGGTTGACTTGAGTTTCGTGAGTGAACGAATGCACAGTCCTCGAAAGAAGGTACAGCGTTTCGCTGTACTCGCCGTCCTTCCCTTTCGCATTCAAAAAGGAGCGGCACTCCTCGAGGCGAAAGCGGACGTCGGCCTCTGTAAGCGACGTTGTCACGCACGACTCTGACCTACCGTCGTCGTCTTCCTCTTCGCTGGGTACATCGTCATCGAGGGTTACGCCGGCCAGTTGCTCGTCTACAGCCTGCAGTTCCATTGCTATTTCTTCCTCCAACACCTCTGGGTCGTCCTCTACACTAAGCCACGTCTTTACTGCCTGACGCACTTCAGCGTCCGTGAGGCCTGAGGCTTTCTCGACGAACAAGTTGTCCGTCAACACTCGCGCCGTGGATCTAGAGTCCGTGGCGCTGGCTGGCATAGACATCTTGGAGACCATTTCGCAGAGGTCGTCGATGATGGCTCACCACACGTTGTCGTGTGGGCGGCAGACGGACCGTCAGCAGACGAAAGGAATCTATCCATATCCACGCAGTAGCGGTTGCAGCAGCAGCATCAGCAGTGGCAGACCGCTCTCTGTGCAGTTCTACAGGTGTGCTGCACGATTTTCTGGGGGGCCCCGCAGTATATAAAGTACACCCCCCCTCATATTTTATATCTGCGGGGCACCATGGTTCGGAATTTTTTTTCGTCTTTATCGCGGGGAGTTGACTTAAGATGAGCGTCTTTAAAGCGGGGACGACTGTACACGGAAATTCAGCATACCTGCACAGCATAAAATAGCTGTCGAAATTCATTCGCTTGAGGTGCCAGATGAAACCACAGCTGCCGTAGTTGAACCACGCATCGTTACGTCCGATGACGTTGGGAAGCAGGATACACCAGATGCATTCCGTAGGGTGATAGTAGCACGCACAGTCTGTCACTGGTATACGCACGACAAAAGTGCAATGGTACAACTGGCCAACCCTTCTCACAGACCGGTATCCCTGAAGAGAAATACACTTATCGGCTATATTTCTCCAGGGAAAACAATACTGCTACAAACAACGAGCAGCGTTCAAGCGAGCCCTGAAGAAACGAAAAAAATCCGTACAGATCTCAAGAAGGCATTAGCCAAAGCTTTCAGAGATACAACTTTTTTGCCCGACCAGTGTGAAGAAACACTTAATATGTGTACCAAATACCGTTCACTATTATCCCTGAGTCCTAAAGAACTGGGCAAATGTACTCTCACAGAGGCTATTTTTCCATTGCAACCAGGAACAAAACCAGGCAACAGAGCTCCATATCGTGCAAGTCCACGAATGCAAGAGGTTATTGACAAATGTGTTGGTGAAATGGAAGAAGCGGGGATAATCGAGCAAAGAGCGAGCCCATGGGGGTCAGCAGTAACGTTGGTAGCAAAAGCTGACGGCAGTCCCCAATTCTGTGTAGATTACAGAGCGACGATCAACAAGAATTTTATTCGTAAATCGTGGCCAATGCCTGAGATGGCAAGTCATATTGACACAGTAGAAGGTGCTAAATACATCACAGTCTGCGATGTACAAAGTGCATACCACCAAATACCAATTGCCGAAGCAGAACAAATCAAGACTGCATTCGTTACTCGGGACGGAAAATGGGTTTTCAAACAACTCCCCTTTGGCGTCGCCAATCCGCCTTTTCTGTTTCAACGCACGATGGCATTGACTTTCGCACATTTTGGTCCAATATCTGGTCTTCTCGCGTACATGGATGATCTTATTTGTTGTTCATCTACATGGGAGGGTCATATCTNATCAAGACTGCATTCGTTACTCGGGACGGAAAATGGGTTTTCAAACAACTCCCCTTTGGCGTCGCCAATCCGCCTTTTCTGTTTCAACGCACGATGGCATTGACTTTCGCACATTTTGGTCCAATATCTGGTCTTCTCGCGTACATGGATGATCTTATTTGTTGTTCATCTACATGGGAGGGTCATATCTCACTTTTGGAAAATACCTTTCAAGCGCTACAAGCCGCAGGTCTTACATTAAAACCACCAAAGGTACAATTTGGGCCAAAGGAAGTGAAGTATTTGGGGCATATTTTTTCCGCAGATGGCATACGTTTTGGTGAAGATCGGATAAAATCGATACTAGAGTTGCCAACACCAACAAACATCAAAAGTTTGCGATCAGTCCTAGGAACGATCAACTATGTCAGGAAATTCATCCCAGACTTAGCCGCCGTCACCGCACCAATGGTTGAGCTTACGAAGAAAGACGCAGTGAAGTCGGTAGCGAAACGCTGGGGTCCGAAACATGATGAAGCATTTGCCGAAGTGAAACGATTACTCACCAACGCTCCTGTTTTGCATTTTACGGACTTCTCTAAAGAGTTTGTTATCCACGTAGACGCATCTGAAGTGGGAGCGGGAGCATTCCTGGCACAAAAGAATGGCGATGACGTGAATATAGTATCATACTTTAGCCAGCGATTTAACAAAAGCCAACAACACTACTCTGCCACCATGAAAGAATGCTATGCTATTGTTCTTTCAATTCAACACTGGCGTCCTCATTTATGGGGTAAACATTTTACGTGCGTAACTGATCATGCGGCACTGCGATATCTTGATTCGATGCAAGACACGTCAAATATGCTCACAGATGGGCAACAGCACTGCAATCCTTCGATTTACGGTATAACATAAACCGGGAAAGTTGCATGTAGTGCCGGATACGTTATCGCGACTTTTCGTGTTCGATAATGAACAAGAACAACCTGCGCCGAACCGTGCACCGATTTGCCGAAATGTACCGGACGATCCAAAGCTGCAACAACACATGCCAAACAGACCATACCAAGTCTCGACTGACAAATTGGATGATGTGCAACCAGTCCTTAGTGATAGGGAATTATTCGCAGTCAACTCAATTTTTTTCAGCGCCACGGAGATATTTGAATCTGCTAAGCATGAGAAATTGCCCAAGAAACAAGCCGAAGAACACGGCGAGTATGTCCAACACATTTTAGACGCCAAAGCACCGCTACCAGACAACGAAACGCCAACATGAACGCCGTACTGTTCAAAACAAGACGGTTTACTGTTTATTTCGTATCTGCCAGGACACCTGCGAAAACGAAGCACTTTTAGTGATCAACTNCTCAATTTTTTTCAGCGCCACGGAGATATTTGAATCTGCTAAGCATGAGAAATTGCCCAAGAAACAAGCCGAAGAACACGGCGAGTATGTCCAACACATTTTAGACGCCAAAGCACCGCTACCAGACAACGAAACGCCAACATGAACGCCGTACTGTTCAAAACAAGACGGTTTACTGTTTATTTCGTATCTGCCAGGACACCTGCGAAAACGAAGCACTTTTAGTGATCAACTTGTAGTCCCACATGACCTCACCGGTTTAGTGATGCACGCATACTTTGATCACGCTCTTTCAGGTGGACACCTCGCATTTCTCCCAACGTACGAAAAAATATGACAAAAATGTTGGTGGCAGTCAATGAGCCGTGACATCCCGACTTGGTGCCTAGAATGCAAGGCTTGTCAACGGAGAAAGACACCTCACCGCCGTCCGAAACTGCCGACGGGTCACGTACCTGTACGGCGGCCGTTTGAAAGAGTATCAGTCGACCTAGTCACGAGTACAAATCACTCTCAATGTCAGCAGTCGGAGTGAGATGAAAATACGTGCTTTCCATGATGGACCACCTGACGCGTTATGCAATTTTCACATAAGTTCCAAACAAAACTGCTGAAACCGTAGCACGTGTAATCATTGATCGGATTATCAGTATCTTTGGCCCGCCTGAAATGCTGCACTCTGATCAAGGCACTGAATCCGAAAACAAAATAATCGATCAGTTGCAATCAATCTTGGGCTACAATAAAACACGCACGACGCCGTATCGTCCGCAAGGTCGGTCTCTGAGCGTGTGCATTCAACGTTGCATTCCATGCTCGCAATGCATAGCTCCATGAATCGTGACAACTGGGCGGATCTCCTGCCAATGGTTCAACTAGCGTATAATACGTCGTTTAATAAAACCATGCATGAGACACCGTACTTCTTGATGTTTGGTCGCCAAGCACGGTTACCGGTAGATGTAGTTCTCGAAATCCCACATGTAGGATCAACTGCAGATACCGAGGGTTTTTCTAAAAAACCACAAGGAAATCTACAAATTTCTTTCGAACTAGCGCGAAGAAACCTCACGGAACGTGCAGAGAAGCAAGCTGCGAAAAACGAAAAGTTACCGCGTTACCCCGTCTTTAAACCTGGTCAACAAGTACTCGTACACCGACCACACCAGGATATAGATGGACCAAATCCGAAGCTGTTCTTACCGTGGCGAGGACCATATACCATCTGCTCACAACTGTCGCCAGTTGTGTATAGGGTGAAGCGAGTCGATGAAACACGAGANGGAAAAACCACCAGCACCACAGTTTGGAAAACTGGCCGAATATTTTCTTGGAAAACAAATTCCCTTACCTCCCCTGACACCAAACGACGAAAATCAACCGAAAATTGAAAAATACGTACTGCAAATGGTAGGGTATCGAAGCGGTCAAGGCCGAAAAGGTCCGCACAACTATCGATATCGTCTAAGACTGGAAGGATACGGTCCTAAATCAGATATGATGTATCGTGCCGACGAAGTGCCGCAATGCCACGAAATGATTTCCGCATACCGATCAAAACATGATCTGGAGATCGCGCCCGCCGAGAAATCGTCCGAAGTGCCGCAGGAAAAAGCGAAACGAAAACGCGACGAAGGTAGGGATCCGAGTACAAACAAACGCGCAAAGCACAAAGCAAGGCCAGACACGTTGTGTCCCAAGCCAGCAAAATGCGTGAATAANATTTCCGCATACCGATCAAAACATGATCTGGAGATCGCGCCCGCCGAGAAATCGTCCGAAGTGCCGCAGGAAAAAGCGAAACGAAAACGCGACGAAGGTAGGGATCCGAGTACAAACAAACGCGCAAAGCACAAAGCAAGGCCAAACACGTTGTGCACCAAGCCAGCAAAATGCGTGAACAAGGAAAGTACTCAGCGGAAAAGTAAACGAAGTCCGAAGGCAAACAAACGATACATTTCTAAAGTGTCTAAACGGTGAAAGGAATAGCATCCAAACAATAAAGTTGCTATCCAGCATTTGGTTGGGTCAAATGCTGGCGAGGAAATGTCAAGTTTACCGGTCTCAATGACATTTGCTTACACCCAGCGGTATGGTTACGCGAACCAGAATCCGCACAAAGGCAAATTCTTGATACTTAACAAGAATAAGCTTTGACACATCATTGATTGACATCAATACCTGGTAGCTGGTACGAGCCTTGGAGAGAAAAAATCCGTACGGTGTTGTTTCCAACACGTATGTATTCCACACGGCACTGTCAGCTGTCTTCGGATAGTGAGGGAGAGATTAAATTTTCGAAGAGCTGTATCTGGATCCAATGACACATCCATACCTGCTCCACCACAAGAAACATGCAAACATGCATGTGCGCCAAAACCCAACTTCAACAAGCNAAAAATCCGTACGGTGTTGTTTCCAACACGTATGTATTCCACACGGCACTGTCAGCTGTCTTCGGATAGTGAGGGAGAGATTAAATTTTCGAAGAGCTGTATCTGGATCCAATGACACATCCATACCTGCTCCACCACAAGAAACATGCAAACATGCATGTGCGCCAAAACCCAACTTCAACAAGCTCAGCTTTCGGCGAAGAAAAAGGGGGGCTATGTGGAGGTCAGGATATGGAGATTCAGGGAGCACAGATACACGTACATAAAGAGTAGGATCTGAGGGAATATGTGATAGTAGANGCCCTCAACGGCTGCGAATAGTTGATGGATCTCTAGGAGAATGAGTCCACGAAGGCTCGCCCACTCTCCGCACCACCCTGCTTGACTGAGTTCGCTCGGTCACGCTTGGCATTCCTCGCCACATTGCACCAAAGGAAATAGCCAACCTCCGGTGGCAGGACATAGCCACCACATCCCCGGACTCTCCGTTCACCCAGAGTAGAGGGCATTCATATGCGCAGTTGAAAATTTCAGAAATTTTCAAATCGCGACCGAGTTGAAAAAGCTAGTTGGAAATCCAAACCTAGGGGGAGGGGTGCATCACCAGACCCCCCACCACACCTGCTTTGTTTGGTCNTCCCCGTACTCTCCGCTCACCCAGAGTAGAGGGCATCCATATTTTCTCTGTTTTCTTTTTTCTCTCTTTTTTTCTCTCTTTTTCTGTGCCAGATGGCCTTGTCTCTGCTTGCGTCGTGAAGAACCAAGATCGAACCAAGGGGGTGTACCTCTTTCTCTCCGGCCGGCGATGGTGACTCGTGGTCTCATTAGTTGTCTCGCATAGCGCGCAGAGGGAATGGAGGACTCCAGAATATCTGTCGTTGATTTCTATTGACTTGCGGACCCCTCGGGGCCAGTTCATTTGAGTGTACCTTTAGGGTAAGTCAACCTGTGACCACNTTGACTTGCGGACCCCTCGGGGCCAGTTCATTTGAGTGTACCTTTAGGGTAAGTTAACCTGTGACCACGGGAATCGACCGCGTCGAGTGTTGGATCAGTACGGACATACGAAGGTACTGGGTAGAGAGAGACCGGAACGGTTTTTAATGTGAAGACAACAACAATGTGGTGGTGTTTCGGATGTTCGATTCGACGCACCCACCCCTGAAACAGAGACAGACCACGATGCGTACACATTGCTGCAGACCAAGAGCGACCAATCTCATCGTACGTTGTCGTACGTACGAAGCGTCGGGAGCGATTCTTGAAACCAATTGCCTTCTGCTAGCAGCATACAAGCCAGGGAAGCGAGAAGTGCACGTCCACACGGCAGCACCAGCAGCAGCAAGTACAGCAGTAGTAGCTGATTGAATATGAATGATGGTTGTCGTTCACAGTCAAACAAAGTCGTTTCTGCGCTGCTACACAGCAGAGAGTCCTGCATACACGTGTACAGTGGCAGTGGTGACCTCGGTGTGATGGTTTATGCCGCAACCACAGCTTTGAACCGTATGTATTTGGGCCCTCTCGGGGGGGAGAGGGGCACCGAGGATTGGCTACCACATAGAGTTACATGTATATTCACGCAAGCTCCAGCTCGACGCCTCACAGCGCAGTAGCGGGGGAAATATAGCCCTGCTCTAACACCGAGACAAAAAAACTAACGGGCCCGGCCAGCCTCCCAGTTCTCTCTCCGCAAGACCCCGCCGTCGCAGGCTCAGGCGCACCGTGTAAGGCGAGCTGCCCGCATCGCCAAAAACGGAATCGTTGGCACCTAAATGCAATTATCTGGCTTTCTGCGCTATGGTTCTGATACGATCAAAATTACGATTCGCGACTCTGATTGGACGAGACACTACGGTGTTTCGCTCCGAACCAACATCTTTGTGCTGCGTAGAGAGCTTTCCTTATGTTTTTGTGATGCGCGTCTTCCATCCAGCCTGCATGCACCTCGCCAGCTTCTGCTGAGTGTAGTGTTACTTCCACCCACACCAATCCTGACATCTATCTCCGACACCCAGAGCTATTGATACGAATCTGTGGGTGCTTCAATGCGCGAAAAGCTTTGTCCACCCATCACCAGTCAATGCTGTCATGTTGTTGGTGGTGTTTAAGATTTGTTTTTTTGAGCGAAGAAGTATTTGATTCTTGAGGGTCTGCGAATACCTTTCGGTTCACTCTTGGTTCAATCATCGGTGTTTTTTTTTGCGAGGAGCGCGTCAAACTCATCATGGCATCAATTTTCGGTGAGAATACAGCTCCATCTACGTCTGTCTGTCTGTCTGTCTGTCTGCGGCAGATATTCACATCTTTCCACAACCAGGAAGGAGCGTCCCACGTGCTATATTCATGTGACATTTCTCATTGACATACGTGTCCACCTTACACGGAGAGCGGCGGAGCAAACGAAGGACGGGGGGGGTGGTAGCCCCCTGCGTCCTGAGCTCTTGTACTTTTATACCATTGAATCTCTTTACTGTAAGTAAGAAATATGCATCATGACACGATGTCGCCGGTGCTTGTTTCAATATGCATGCTATTGTTCCACCGGCATAAAATAGTCCAAGTATTCTAAAGCTTCCACTGAAGAACGGAATACTTGTGGACATGCATGGACAGCTGGAAAACTGGAAGGGAGACTTCGGCGAATCAAGGTCGTTCGCGTAGTTCGGCAGCAACAACAAATCCATGGCAAAGGTTGACGCAAGGTCGCGTGTCATGGATGGTGGGGCCCTCACCGACGGTCCGGTACCACACGATCTTATTTTGGACACTGCTCATTGTGGTGTATGTACCGGTCTCACCGTGGTGGGATTGTTTGCTGAGATGGATACAGCGGTACGACTGTGGCATGTGATGTACGTGTGGATGGTTCAGATGCTGCTGTAGAAACACATACAATTATTCCAAGGGCCGGAAACAGAGAAGCAGGCGTATTGAGATAAATGTGGTTGGGGCCTAAACCATCACATGGGGGTCACCATCGCACTTTGCTGTGTATTGTAGCAACGCGGGAGGAACGACTTCGACTGCTGTTTGATGGCGTGAACAATGAAAGGCTCTCATCCATCATCAATCACCTACTACTGCTGTGCTTGCTGCTGCTGGTGCGGCCGTGCGGCCGTGCACTTCTTGCTCCCCTCGCGTACATGCTGCTAGCAGAAGGCAAGTAACTTCAAGAATCGTTTCCGACGCGTCGTGCGTACGATGCGTTTGGTTGCACTTGGCCTACAGCATGTGTACGCGTCAATTGTTTGTCTCTGTTTGGGGGGCGGGTGCATCGACGGAATGTATCCGAAATAATACAACCAAGGAAACACGTTCATGACTGCGGGTGCCTGTGCTAAGACTTGTCTACAATGCAGCAGCGTGTCACTTGGCCCGGTGGCGTCGCATTGAAGTGCCCTTCATCCGGTCGCAGGAGGAATATGATGAAGATACGCAAGTCTTCGGTCGTATCCACGACACACCAAAAAATTTTGAGCAACCATACATGGATCTTTTCCCACACTGAAACTGCGAAATGTGTCACGACACGACCGCCATCCTCTCAGTATATATATTAATATGTTTTTTTGGGAATTGACAAAATGGGGTATACCCCGCGTGTCTAGGCACAAACTGGGGTATACTTTTTTTCGGTGTGGAGCGCAACGTCTGACGCAGGGTAGGTGCCTTCTAGCGCTTCGGCACACATGCGCCAGGACAAGGAAGGACGACCATTTTTTTTTTTTTCATTCACGAGAACAGGGCCTGGAAGAGGGGCGCTCATTGGAGGACCCCATTTTGTTCACGAAACCGCGGGGTACACCCCCATGTCTGCAAGTTCATCGTTGTAGTACCCCTTTCTGTTCTCAAACACACCCCATATTGCTCAAGGCATACATCTTTTTGGTGACGGTCCTGCGGACTGCCAAAACCGGCACCAACAATCAACCGCAGATCACCATAGGTGTGACGACAGAAGGTAGCTGGAGGTTACACCCTGATCGCATCTCTTTAGGTCAAACCGATGTTGAACGTCGCAGGGCTAGGTTACTCACGTGAACAAGGCTAGGTTCCTCACCCCAATCAACCTTAACCCTCACCCACGGCCAACGCACGGCCTAGCGGCCGCAAAGTGCGCGAGCACCCGGCTGCGCCGCGTGCTCGGAATGCGGAACGGGGAGAGGGCGCTGGAAAGCAATCGGCCGTTAGAATCAACGCTAAACAATGCCCGACAAATCACAAAGCGTTGGTCCTAAAGGTCTACTATCAATGTGTATATACTACTGGAGGCGTAGGTGCGGTCAGCGGTGCAATACGCAGGCTTTGTTGGTTGGGGCGAGGCAAGGAGACAGAAGATATAGATGTATGGTATCAAGTCAGCGGTAGATTGTTGGCTGCCATTTTGGCAGTCCACAGCAGGAGCGTCATCACCGAACTAAGATGGGTTGCTTTGAACATTCGCGGTACGTTTGTGAACAGAATGGAGTACTTTTTGCAGACAGCGGGGGGTTCCCGCGGTTTCGTGATCAATATGGGGCCCTTCAACAAGCGCCCCTCTTCCAGGCGTTAGTTAACCCTGTTCCTCTGGGTGCAAAAAAAAAAAGTTGGGTGTCCAACCGTGGCGCATGGGGCTCAAGCGCTAGGAGGCGGTTGGTAGACTCCTACCCGGCGTCAGGCCTTGCCGCCCCACACCGAAAAAACATATGCCCATTTTTTGCCGTAACACGTGGGGTATATCCCCCCCCCCGGTGTTTACCATCGGGGTTGGGTTTTCGTTGCTTGGCAACGACGTTGTAAAACAAGCCAATTCACTTCGTGAACTCGGCAACCAGGTTACCGTTTTTTTTTTTTACCTCCGTTTTTTTTTTTGGCGGTAACCATAATGGTGGTCGAGTAGATCATGTTGTGCGGGGTGGAGAACCCTCACTCCGCGCAAGGGGGATGATCGCACCACGTTGTGTTAAAATGGTCAAGCACCCTCGAGGCAGTTACACAGTGCTTACAACTGTCTCTGGAAGTGAAAGCACCAGAAAATAAATAAATTCATACGCAGCTGTCATCCGTACGCAAGGAAGTAAGCACAAGATGCCGAAAACCCTTAGCAGGATGCAGCGCACCCTTCATGCGACTCGCCGAATATCTCACGGCGCTTCGCGCTTGGTGATGTGAGAGCCTGGTCCGGTGAGAACCCGGCGTGCTCCGTCCCGGCTTTGTAGGGATGCGAGGTCAATGGTCTAACGACTACGGCATGCACGACTATGAGTACACGCGGGGTATATCCCATACTGTCACTTCTCCAATATTATTCCAAATAGATGCAACCTGTTGGGGGTTCTTGCCAAAGTGTATGTAGGCTATTGTACTCAATCCTTGTCCACATCCCATGCGTCAGGAACCCAAAACATCGGAGAAGAGCTTCCGGCGTGCGGAGTCCCGCCCTCGACACACTCCAGTCCAGGAAACCATGGAGCGACGGCTCGCGCGTTTTGGCATGCCCTAATCTGTTGCTGAAGCCGTGCTGTCGAAGGCTGCAGCTACTGCCTGAGAATTGTTCCGCAAATCTGGATCTGGGCCCATGTCATTCACGATCCACGCTTGCTGTATGCGTGACAAGCGCAACCCCTCCAATTTCGCCATTTCGTTGCTTGGGGGGGGAGCATTTCCAGTACCGCGGGGCGTTCTCATAGTACGGTGTTCCTTCTCTAGGCAACGCATTGTGAGCTTAATTATGGCAAGGGTTATCGAGTGTCCGCTACTACTATACACAGCTCTTAACCTGAGTGCAACGAAACCAGGATTCAATTTGTTCTTCCTGCTCAAGGTTCCAGAAGTCGAAACAAGGCCATCGTCGGCCAAACAATACGAGAAACATCCGAATATTTCCCAGACCCTTCTTGCTGAAAATCGTTCCGTTGTTGCTAGGGCGCACCCGGTGCCTCGATGCCTTCGTCATCGCCTTGAGCCAAGCGTGCGAGGGAGGGGAGAAGCGCTGGTATGCGTCGACACTGGAGCTGCAGCTGACCTCGCTGGATTTGTGCAGGGCGTGCCGAACTACGTCGATCTTGCACGTGCATGTAGATGATCAGACTCCTCGCAGCTTGTGGTCTTCTCGCACAGCACAGACCCGGCCGAACACACGCAGCTGGAATCTGCATATCTCCAGCCGTGTGCCGGTCGTGCGGGCTCTTCGTTTGACGTGGGCCCTGTCCATGGAAGCTCTGCTGAGGAAAGCCGCAATCGAGCTGTGGACGTGGTCAGAACGTCTTGAGCTGCTGGGATCGTCGTGTGTGTCTAGCTTAGGATCCGAAGTGGTTTGGCCCCGAGGGTTGACCCAGCTGGTATTGTATACAGATTCGGATATCGCAATGGGCACCGTGTGGTGGCCGGTGCGCTTGCAATATCTAGCACTTCGGGGTCGTTTTAATGCGTCCATTGCCGGAGTGGTGTTCCCGGCGTCCCTGCAGCAGCTATCGTTCGGAAACCACTTCAATAAACCTATTGCCGGAGTTGTGTGGCCGTCCTCACTGCAAAAGTTGTCGTTCGGGGACAGCTTCAATCAGCCTATCGCCGGAGTCGCGTGGCCGTCCTCGCTGCAGGAGCTTTCAGTCGGATCCCTCTTCAATCAGCCCATTGCCGGAGTCGTGTGGTCGTCTTCGCTGCAGCAGCTATGGTTCGGGGACAACTTCAATCAGCCAATCACCGGAGTCGTGTGGCCGTCTTCGCTGCAACAGCTATCGTTCGGGTACAGCTTCAACCAGCCTATCGCCGGAATCGCGTGGCCGTCCTCCCTGCAACATCTATATTTCGGGTCACAGTTCAACCAACCAACCACCGGAGTCGTGTGGCCGTCCTCGCTGCAACAGCTATTGTTCGGGTACAGCTTCAATAAGCCTATCGTCGGAATGATGTGGCCGGCCTCCCTGCAGCAGCTATCGTTCGGGTTACTTTTCAATCAGCCTATCGCCGGAGTCATGTGGCCGTCCTCCCTGCAGCAGCTGTGGTTCGGGTACAACTTCAATCAGCCTATCGCCGAAGTCGCGTGGTCGTCCTCCCTGCAACAGCTATCGTTCGGGTTTTACTTCAATCAGCCCATCGTGGGAGTCATGTGGCCGGTTTCCCTGCAAAAGCTGTCATTCGGGGACAGCTTCAATCAGCCTATCGCCGGTGTCGCGTGGCCGTCCTCGCTGCAGCAGCTATCGTTCGGGCACAACTTCAATCAGCCCATCGCCGGAGTCGTGTGGCCGTCCTCTCTGCAGCAGCTGTCAGTCGGGCACAACTTCAATCAGCCCATCGCCGGAGTCGTGTGGCCGTCCTCTCTGCAGCAGCTGTCAGTCGGGCACAACTTCAATCAGCCCATCGCCGGAGTCGTGTGGCCGTCCTCTCTGCAGCAGCTGTCGTTCGGGTACAACTTCAATCAGCCTATCGCCGGAGTCGCGTGGCCGTCCTCCCTGCAGCAGCTGTCGTTCGGGTACAACTTCAACCAGCCAATGACCGGAGTCGTGTGGCCGCCTTCCCTGCAAAAGTTGAAGCTCGGGGACGGCTTCAATCAGCCTATCGTCGGAGTTGCCTGGCCGGCGTGCCTGCACAACCTGTCATTCGGGGACGGCTTCAATCAGCCTATCGCCGGGGTGATGTGGCCGTCGTCCCTGCGACAGCTTTCATTCGGGTACAGATTCAATCAGCCTGTTGCCGGAGTCGCGTGGCCGACTACGCTGCAATCTGTGACATCTTTTGGAGAAAGCCTGTTGTGAAAGGTTCAGGGTATTTCGAGATGACTGCGCGGTTTTGTTCAGCGTGTTGTTGAAACGATGGCTTGTTTGTACCGTTGTAAGCACATGAAAGAGAGTTATCGTTTCATATGCATGAAATACATATATCAAATGCTACCTTGCAGGCGCATCAAAGGGTCATGTCCATTGTGCAATCCTTGTCGGGTGTAGTTGCAGTCTTCCTGGGAGAAGGTAGTGAAGGTTTGGGATATTTCGGTAGAAAATTGTTCTGTCCTTGTGAAAGGAACACATTTGAATGGTTCTTGCCGCAAGGCGTCAAATGTCAATATGAAAGTAATGTTTGATAAGCCAAACGAGATATGGGGTGAAGAATCATCGTTTCTGCGATTCCTTCTGTAGCGATTGTGGTGTAAAACGGCACGATGAACGCGCATCCATTCATGGACTTGTCTGGATAGTATCTACTTCGTACATGCCTCCTTCGTACGTATCGTCGCCGTCACAAGGACTTGTGCGTTCGTGAGGTTTTGTTCTTCTCGGTCGTGCTCACTCGCACCGATTCCTTGGACAAGGGTCTACGCTGGGTCGTGTTACTACTGTACTACTGTAGATGGCGCTGGAACTTTTTGATCGACTTGATTGTGCTTGAGAAACTATATTCCGTGGTCGGTCCAAACCCTGTTTTGTTGTGGTGGACGAAAGAACTATTTCGTGCACACCTAGGTACACTGTTGTACCTCCATAGAGCCTCAAGAGGGGGAAGTTCTCATAGTCGTGCATGCCGTAGTCGTTAGACCATTGACCTCGCATCCCTACAAAGCCGGGACGGAGCACGCCGGGTTCTCACCGGACCAGGCTCTCACATCACCAAGCGCGAAGCGCCGTGAGATATTCGGCGAGTCGCATGAAGGGTGCGCTGCATCCTGCTAAGGGTTTTCGGCATCTTGTGCTTACTTCCTTGCGTACGGATGACAGCTGCGTATGAATTAACTTATTCTCTGGTGCTTTCACTTCCAGAGACAGTTGTAAGCACTGTGTGAACTGCCCGAGGGTGCTTGACCATT